ATCGGTGAGCCCACACACAGTGCTTCCGGGTTAACTCATGTTTCATTGACGTTGGCCTGACATCATTACAAGATTCAATCAGTTTTTATAGCGTCACTGAGGTGATTGCTTCAATGAAGTCTTAACGAATTTTATGATATTACTTACGCCCAGGTGTTACAAGTACACTTACAATGTACTTTACGTAGGTACTTACGCACATGACTCGTAAAGATTCAAATAAATCCGTAATCTTTAAAATTTTCATTATCGTTCGTCGATGAATTGGTGCCAGGTGTATTAATTTCAATTTACTTTATTAAAATTAGACCAGTCTAGTTTTGCATTTGTATCGATACATATATTGTTTCTTTTAAATATAACACCATAATATAGAGGGAATTATATTTTTTCTTAGTTTTAATCCATGAGTTATATTTTGAACAATTCTTTGTAATATAGCCTATGTTTTTTGAATGTTGTAACATTTATGTATTGTACATCGTAACGACCTTTCGCGTTTTTACTACTATTCATCGTATTATGTATGGGGTCCATTACATAATTATGTATCTACCATGTAAAATATGTATGTTATTTATATACATTTATCTACTACAAACCCCCACTGGAATGTTTTACATTAATAAAAACTTATGAACTATCTACTGTCTGTGTCTGATAAAAATGTTTGCTTTTTCTTTCATCCAAATTTTTTTAATCACAAACGAGCATGCTTCACTTAAATTGTACATTATTATCCATTCGATAAATTGACTGTCAGTCGTTGTTCCACTGTTCGAATACGATCTAGAATCCCGTGAAATGTACAACTTGCATTTTTAGACATTTGAGGTATATATTGAAAACGCCATAGAAATATGTTGCCAGACTCTAAATATTTCTGTCAATTTCAAATCCCTATTGACCAAAATACGACATTGGAGATGACAGTGCATAATAAATTGAAAATCGAGGTAGACAAGCCGATTCGAGGAGAGCACCACCGCGGAAAGGGGGGGGGGGGGGTTGAAGGCCCGGCCGGGGGGAAAATTTTTTCAATTTATTTTCGATTTTAAGATATTTATGTTACTATGTATAAAAATAAATGTATTTTTACACATATAGCAATTAAGAAGGGTTTAGACTTAGCGGTTGTCACAGAGCTTCAACATTTGAAGTCAACAGTCGTTATTATACTATTTATACACACACAAATAAAAAAATGTTAATGGTAGAGCAATGGCATGGTACGCTGGTTGTGGCTTCGTGTCCTGTCTATATGTTTTACAAATTAAAATATTTTCTTTATAATCTTAGTTTGCACGTTTGAATAATTATTATTTATCTTTCATACAATTTGAAATAAATCTTTGAAATAAAAAACAAAATATTTCAGACCATCTAGTACACTTTTACAATTAAAACCTGTTAGTATTGAAATTCTTCGCGTTCAGTTTTCTTTTTACGTAGATTATTTGCCGTAAATACTTTTACGAGCGAAGATCGTGCATAATAAAAACTTATGCGGGTCTATACAATACTTAATAACTCGTGATAAAATAAAGTTCTTTATATAATGTTTATTACACATTCACGGAGGTCCGGTGTTTAGAAAGTTTATGCGTAAGGACACCGTTTATTACATTTTATCGTAAAAAATGCAAAACTTGAAAGACCCACTTACCATTCTATGTTGCTAGACTCTAAACAGATTCAGTGGCCTAGTCGATATTTACCATGACCCACCTCAACAAACAAACTCCATCGATTACTAATTAATAAATTTTATCTCAATGTATAGGCACTTCATTAAAAAAAATACTTTGTTTTGTATATTATTTCTCTTTTTTTTCATATTTTAATGTATAAGTTGATTCTCACTTAAATTTAACAATGTGCCCTTCTCTCTTATAATATTTGTTTTTGTTTGCTGTATTCGCTTATGATTGTTCTTCACAACCTATTGCGTCCCCTGAAATATGTGTGTTAGGTTAGGTATTTAGTTGTAAGAATGTTGGTGAATAAAACACTTTAAATGTATAGGTACTACTCGCGTAAACTATAGACAGTATATGTTGGTGAATCTAATAAATAAATAAACGAATAAAATTTATTGGAACGCTTAAAGTAAACTTTATTTGTATGTTGGACATCTCGTTAAAATTTTAAGCATCCTTACAAAGGCGATTTAATGAAACTTGAATGTCCAATAACTACCCGTTCAGTAATAACTTCGCCTATTCCTCTAATTAATCACGTCCGTGTCCCAATTCTCAGCCAATTACTGGAATATCGGCCTATTGTCCAATACGGGGACATTAGTGTATGTAATTGTAACTATTAACCACACAGAACATATAGCAAAATGCTCGTATTGTTCAATTACACTTCTATAGTAAAATATTAACTACGGTACTTTAACGTGAAGTCATGCTGTAATTTTATAATTTCGACGATCGAATGACTTTTTGTTTTAATTTATATGGTCAATGTCAATAATCATCATCCGGCTCGAAGGACCACAATGTGCGTTATAATACTTCGGGACATATAATAGAGCAAGCTAATAAAATAACTTAACTCTATTTTAACATAGATAATAAGCGTGGTTTGCAACGACAAACTTAAAAGTTAGTTATTGACTCAGCGTAAATGCTGAAATGGCGAGGTCAAAACGTTGTTCAGCTACTTTACCATAACCAAATATCCAATCATCGATCGACATTTAACTATATATGTTTTCAAAAGCTACTTGGGTTTTGACCGGTCGACTGTCATTACTACTTACATTCTACCACTTATATATCTAGCTGATCTGTCAAATGTTTTGTTCTCTGCAAGATTATTATTATATAACACTCTAAATAAACTAAAATAATTGGTAATAATGCGTTAATGTCGCCCATATTTGATTACCTTAAAAAATGGATCCTGCGAGTTAATCCTAATAGATATAATACAACTGTCTGATTATAATATTCCCCGTTCCAAAAAAACGGACTTCTTCAATTCGAACAAGAAGTTCCTGATTTTAGAGCGTTTAAGCAAAAAAACAAACACTTCAGTGTTATAATATTAATAAGAATTAAAGAAGTAGCTTCAGTATTGGTTACATTTTCGTCGAAATAACGGTTCCACGAATAAATCACACACGCTCCTGGCATACGAGTCATGTCCAGCTTGCATCCGTTGTCACCTTCAAGGATGCATTAAATTAAATCGTGGCTAGGATTAGCGAGGATACGTCAATAGTAGGCACACGCTGTTTGAATAATAAAATTGTTTTGATAGTGCCTGAATTATGAATGACGTGTCCCGTTTAATTTTGCATACTATTACGTCCGTATTCTGAATATATTGGTGAATAGATTAGAATACCTCATGCAATGTTAATATTGACTTATATACCTATACTAGTTATAATATTATTTTTCATTTGGACATCAAATTTTGCTTTTCCTAACCTCATCTTTATAAATCATAGCTGATACCCACGACGTCGTCCGCGTCCCATCGTTCTGCCAGTTAATCTTAAAACATAAACAGTAAAGTATACAACTATCGCAGCGATTTATTTATCATTTATATTATTCTTTCCTATATATTTTTGAGTATCTAGAACCTTATAACGGAAATATTAAAGATAATTATTACCTTTTTTTTTTTTTCATTTTTCCTGCTGTTTCTTCTATTCTGTTGGTCGCAGCCTGATGTCCTTCCTCAATAAATTCGAACCAGTAATTCCTAAGTCTAGCGCGTTCAAACAAACAAATGTTAACTTTTGGATTATCTACATTCAAAGTACAATTTTTTAGGTATGTAATTAGAAACAATACATTATAAGCTCTTTAGCATTTAACAGTTCCCAGAACTGGGCCAAAGCCTCGCAGAAGAGAAGAAGAGGTTATTACCGCTTTATCTGCCAAACCTGTACTTTGGCAGAGCCACATATTGTATTTCTTTGTTATTAGAGAGCACATAGTTGAATATATACAACAATAAACATATTAGTGCCCGACCCACGATCGACTTCCAGACCTCTCTAAATAATTTAATATTACTCATATAACTAAGCCAATATATCTAGTACTTGTGTAAATAGAATTTTCTCTTATATTTAAGTACCCGATTAACCCAGGTAGAAACAGTTATTCCAAAAAAAAGGTAATATTCCCAATTTTATCCGATGGCAAAACTTTGTCCTATAAAGTTAGCAATTACACACTATAATACCTAGACCGAGTCTTCTAACTACGGTTTCGACCAACACGAAAAGAGGAATAAAAACAAATCTGAGGCAACTGTTTTCCCATTTCTGCTATTTCTTCTACGCTTGAAATGTTACTTTAAACACACTTTGCTTTCTCGCTGCTGCAATTTTAAATTGGTAATTACTTTCCTATGCATCGCGTTTTCATTTCAGTATAGTTTTTCGAAATATAAATAAGAATTTCATGCGTCAGTCGCGGTCTCGATGGTATTTTTGGCTTCAATTACCACTGGTTAAAATAATTTTATAACTGTCCAAAAACGTTCAATCCTGTCTGGAATAACTGGACATTAAATGAATAGGAATAACGACATTGGCATTTGATATCGAAGCACAGTCCACATTTGGAAGGGTTGTAAAATGCAAATATCCATTACGGCACTGAAAATGTCCAAATCAAAAATAGATCGATGGCGCATCTTAATAAGAAGATCTAGGAATACTTAGGTCATAATCACCCATCTATACATTGGTCCATCAGACTAATGCTTACTATGACTGATCTAATGCTTGTCTGGTCTAAATCCTCGTTCTGGACGACGGAGAAGAAAACGACGAAGTTTCCTGACAATGTGTTAAATATCGAATTAATACTTGGCTGGACCCAAAATTCAAACCCTTGCCTCATACTTTGCAGACTAGAGAATTAACCACTATACTTATTAGGTGCTAATTTTGCTTCGATTAAAAGGAATATTTAAGATTCAATAATAATATTACTTATTTTCTCTTTCACAGGGCAAGCACAATGAGATTGCAAATGCTGGCTTATTTGCTCCTAGCAGTCATCACATCAGTTCTTGCAGGTACGTAAATGACATTCATCTATAGTAGTGGTTTTTAAGAAAATGAGATGACACGGGCGGGACTTGAACCTACGAAAACAGTGCTCTGTGTGATCTGTTAATAAATAAATATTTTAATTAATATTTGTTATATCGGATATAAATGTGTCACTTGATTACATCGTTATAGTGTATTAAGTAAAATATGTCTAGGTATAACACCTAATTTTAAAAAACGTCTAAAAATTGATGCGCCAAAACTAGGTTGCTTTGTTGTAAGTGCATTCAGTGTCGCATATAGGGCACTGCAGTAACAAGCGCTTAACGTACATAAAGTTTTAATTTCCTCGCGAACTCTCGCAAAAACTGGAATATGTCTTTTCAATGAAGAAATAATTAGAGTATAACGAAATTTGGCGCAATACAAAGACTAATAACCATTCGGAAATTATATCCATTTGTGCCGTTAAGTAAAAATAGGTTGTTTAGTAAGTATATCATGCATTTAGAAGTACATAGGCATTAGGCCATAGGCAAGTACATTAGGCAGAAAAATGCGCCCATATAAGTTACTAGTTGGGTCAAAATTTGTTTTTGAAAAACCCCGCCCTTCTTGCAAGTAAATATAAAAGATAGTCAAATATTGTCGCGGACATTTTTTTAGATTATTGAAATGGGAATCATTTTTTCGTAAATATTTTTTTGATATTTTGAACTATTTCGCAGCGCGGCAACGATGACCCTTAAAGATTAGTGATTTTCTCCGATGTTTAATATCCTATAGAATTTCTCGACAAATGTTTTAGCAAACACAAAAATTATTTAAATAAAAATTAGCGCGTTCAAACAAACAAATAATCTCTTCAGGTATTGATAAAAAAAAACATCTACATTTATGAGTTAAAAAGGTATTACAATAACCGTAATACGTAAATAATACAATTTGAAAGGTTTACACGGTTCGTTCGATTCGTACTAGGTCCAACATTTTTTCTAATCAATTTATGTCTTTTCTGAAACATGTTGGACTTCGTCTGCAAAATCTGGATATAAAATGGGTGGTAGGAATATCAAAATTCCGTCACGAACCACCGTCCGATAGCTCATCTAGTTAAGATGTTATATGGCTAGGATATTTCACCTACCATGAAGTGAACTCCATGCTTGTCTATCGCTTACTAAGGTTAAGTTGACACGTGTTTCAATAGAGACATATTGATTGAAATATTATTGTTTACAAAACAAACATGAACCGGCACTGAAATGTGCTTTGAGTCGAGACTGTTCCAATTCAGTTTTCTGAGACTAAATGTAACATTGACTCCATTTTTGAACTTATTAGATTTATAAGTACTAGGAGTATAAAATAGCAACCCTTATATTATTTACGAACTTCTATTCCGCTTGATCGTCTCGAATTTAATCATTTGCATTTCTTTGTCGAAGATAAACGACGTCGTATTATTGAGTCGCAGAATTTACGGCGTTTTTTGTGCCTCGGCTACATTCAGGTAGACACACACACAACGACAGCAGCTTATTGTTGGTAAATAGTCCGGCAGCCGGTTAAGTAGGAAATGTGTCAGTTTTGTTATAAAAACGGTGCTAACTACTTGTTTCACAGTGAACGAAATTCTGATCTATGACTACTACTTACACTACCAATATACTTGATAGAATAGTGGAAGTAGTCTGTAGTTTACGCACGTAGTACACATTTATATAAAATACTTTGTACGGTTTAAAATGCGAAATAAACCGTTAAAATTGTTTTACTTAAATGTTCCTCGTGAAAACTAGACAGTACTTAACTTTATTATAGTTATTTATAGTGCCTACGTGTTATTGATAACGAGGAAAAATATACTGACTAATAATGGGTCGTGGGCTGGATCTGGATGTTCAATGAGTAGGAATATATAAATTCCTTCTTTGTCACGAACCCACCGTCCACAGATGAAAGAGGCGTCAATTTCAATTGCGTGTAGGTTTCAGTCTGTGGATTTCCGAATAGATCGACAGCACATCTTGTTTAGATGTTATATGGCTGGCATTTCACCTACAGATAGACAATGAAATTTAGTTCCGTCTAAATAAAGAATTACACACAATGACCGATATGTAAAAGTGCAATGTATAGCAAAACACATGTATAAAAAATGTGTATTCCTCTCAAGAGAACCTTTTTAGAAATGAAGGCATGTGAATTTTTAACACATTTCATACTTTCATCATCCTATAAACAGGAAGCTGGAGTTTTCAAAAGAAATGCTTGAAGAACTTTTTAATCAGAACTTCAGTTAACTGCGAGTATTATTTCTAGTGCACATAATTTGTTTATTAACAATTTTTATACTTGAATAGATGAAGGAAATTTAAATTTTTTTTTCATTTTTAGGGATCCGTAATTGTAAGGGCTAATAACCGGGCCCTGGGGATGTAAATTAAGACTTCTGTTTATTACAAAATTTGTGAAAATTTTAACTCTAGCTGAGTTAAAATTTTCACAAATTTTGTACTTATCTTCGTTAACTCTGCCGTGTACAAATACAAAAAATATTATTTTTGAGGGGGGTTCCATTCTATAAACTTTTTGAAATTTTTAAACCTCTTATCAATAAGTTACAACCCCCCGTAACCACGTCAGTTGAAATGTATCTTCAACGTCGTTGTTTTTACAGTCTAAAATCAATTTTGTGTGAAAAATATTAAAGTTTATGAATAATTCATTACTGTATATGTTAAAAAATCGGAAGCCATTTATTATTATTTTTAAATTACACTCCCGAGTATTGCATTTTTTAAATATATCTTCTAAGTTCTACACTTTTTGGTAAATTTAGTTTTAGGCTAATGGAAACCTATAAAAAACACGTTACTAATACCGTGTTTACAAAGAAAAATGAGCTAGGGGAAGATTTACTGTTGGTCTTAGGTTCAAGTTCTGTCTGTGTAATTTTAAATTAACTGCTTAAAATAGATTAACACTAGAGTTGCTAGAAACTAGAGCAACAACACTCCAATGAAGTGTATGTAAAACCTTCACTTGAATATTCCTATATTCAAATGAACCTTCATAATGGATAAAGTTTTTTACTTTTTAGTATACGAGTAAATAAGATGCTTTATCTTTTAAATAAATACATATTACCTAATATTAACTAATTTTAACTGAATAAAACACTTTAACGGTTTAAAACGCGATATATTAGTTAAACTTATTTGGAAATGATTTTCGTCGTTAGCCGTGGTCACGGGGAGTCTCCCCGTGACCACGGCTGCTGCAAAGCATTCGAAACGTCGGGCCGAAGTTAAAAATTATTTCCAAATAAGTTTAACTAATATATCGCGTTTTAAACCGTTAAAGTGTTTTATTCAGTTAAAATTAGTTAATATTAGGTAATATGTATTTATTTAAAAGATAAAGCATCTTATTTACTCGTATACTAAAAAGTAAAAAACTTTATCCATTATGAAGGTTCATTTGAATATAGGAATATTCAAGTGAAGGTTTTACATACACTTCATTGGAGTGTTGTTGCTCTAGTTTCTAGCAACTCTAGTGTTAATCTATTTTAAGCAGTTAATTTAAAATTACACAGACAGAACTTGAACCTAAGACCAACAGTAAATCTTCCCCTAGCTCATTTTTCTTTGTAAACACGGTATTAGTAACGTGTTTTTTATAGGTTTCCATTAGCCTAAAACTAAATTTACCAAAAAGTGTAGAACTTAGAAGATATATTTAAAAAATGCAATACTCGGGAGTGTAATTTAAAAATAATAATAAATGGCTTCCGATTTTTTAACATATACAGTAATGAATTATTCATAAACTTTAATATTTTTCACACAAAATTGATTTTAGACTGTAAAAACAACGACGTTGAAGATACATTTCAACTGACGTGGTTACGGGGGGTTGTAACTTATTGATAAGAGGTTTAAAAATTTCAAAAAGTTTATAGAATGGAACCCCCCTCAAAAATAATATTTTTTGTATTTGTACACGGCAGAGTTAACGAAGATAAGTACAAAATTTGTGAAAATTTTAACTCAGCTAGAGTTAAAATTTTCACAAATTTTGTAATAAACAGAAGTCTTAATTTACATCCCCAGGGCCCGGTTATTAGCCCTTACAATTACGGATCCCTAAAAATGAAAAAAAAATTTAAATTTCCTTCATCTATTCAAGTATAAAAATTGTTAATAAACAAATTATGTGCACTAGAAATAATACTCGCAGTTAACTGAAGTTCTGATTAAAAAGTTCTTCAAGCATTTCTTTTGAAAACTCCAGCTTCCTGTTTATAGGATGATGAAAGTATGAAATGTGTTAAAAATTCACATGCCTTCATTTCTAAAAAGGTTCTCTTGAGAGGAATACACATTTTTTATACATGTGTTTTGCTATACATTGCACTTTTACATATCGGTCATTGTGTGTAATTCTTTATTTAGACGGAACTAAATTTCATTGTCTATCTGTAGGTGAAATGCCAGCCATATAACATCTAAACAAGATGTGCTGTCGATCTATTCGGAAATCCACAGACTGAAACCTACACGCAATTGAAATTGACGCCTCTTTCATCTGTGGACGGTGGGTTCGTGACAAAGAAGGAATTTATATATTCCTACTCATTGAACATCCAGATCCAGCCCACGACCCATTATTAGTCAGTATATTTTTCCTCGTTATCAATAACACGTAGGCACTATAAATAACTATAATAAAGTTAAGTACTGTCTGCAGTTTTCACGAGTAGTATACATTTAAGTAAAACAATTTTAACGGTTTATTTCGCATTTTAAACCGTACAAAGTATTTTATATAAATGTGTACTACGTGCGTAAACTACAGACTACTTCCACTATTCTATCAAGTATATTGGTAGTGTAAGTAGTAGTCATAGATCAGAATTTCGTTCACTGTGAAACAAGTAGTTAGCACCGTTTTTATAACAAAACTGACACATTTCCTACTTAACCGGCTGCCGGACTATTTACCAACAATAAGCTGCTGTCGTTGTGTGTGTGTCTACCTGAATGTAGCCGAGGCACAAAAAACGCCGTAAATTCTGCGACTCAATAATACGACGTCGTTTATCTTCGACAAAGAAATGCAAATGATTAAATTCGAGACGATCAAGCGGAATAGAAGTTCGTAAATAATATAAGGGTTGCTATTTTATACTCCTAGTACTTATAAATCTAATAAGTTCAAAAATGGAGTCAATGTTACATTTAGTCTCAGAAAACTGAATTGGAACAGTCTCGACTCAAAGCACATTTCAGTGCCGGTTCATGTTTGTTTTGTAAACAATAATATTTCAATCAATATGTCTCTATTGAAACACGTGTCAACTTAACCTTAGTAAGCGATAGACAAGCATGGAGTTCACTTCATGGTAGGTGAAATATCCTAGCCATATAACATCTTAACTAGATGAGCTATCGGACGGTGGTTCGTGACGGAATTTTGATATTCCTACCACCCATTTTATATCCAGATTTTGCAGACGAAGTCCAACATGTTTCAGAAAAGACATAAATTGATTAGAAAAAATGTTGGACCTAGTACGAATCGAACGAACCGTGTAAACCTTTCAAATTGTATTATTTACGTATTACGGTTATTGTAATACCTTTTTAACTCATAAATGTAGATGTTTTTTTTTATCAATACCTGAAGAGATTATTTGTTTGTTTGAACGCGCTAATTTTTATTTAAATAATTTTTGTGTTTGCTAAAACATTTGTCGAGAAATTCTATAGGATATTAAACATCGGAGAAAATCACTAATCTTTAAGGGTCATCGTTGCCGCGCTGCGAAATAGTTCAAAATATCAAAAAAATATTTACGAAAAAATGATTCCCATTTCAATAATCTAAAAAAATGTCCGCGACAATATTTGACTATCTTTTATATTTACTTGCAAGAAGGGCGGGGTTTTTCAAAAACAAATTTTGACCCAACTAGTAACTTATATGGGCGCATTTTTCTGCCTAATGTACTTGCCTATGGCCTAATGCCTATGTACTTCTAAATGCATGATATACTTACTAAACAACCTATTTTTACTTAACGGCACAAATGGATATAATTTCCGAATGGTTATTAGTCTTTGTATTGCGCCAAATTTCGTTATACTCTAATTATTTCTTCATTGAAAAGACATATTCCAGTTTTTGCGAGAGTTCATATTCAAATGAACCTTCATAATGGATAAAGTTTTTTACTTTTTAGTATACGAGTAAATAAGATGCTTTATCTTTTAAATAAATACATATTACCTAATATTAACTAATTTTAACTGAATAAAACACTTTAACGGTTTAAAACGCGATATATTAGTTAAACTTATTTGGAAATAATTTTTAACTTCGGCCCGACGTTTCGAATGCTTTGCAGCAGCCGTGGTCACGGGGAGACTCCCCGTGACCACGGCTAACGACGAAAATCATTTCCAAATAAGTTTAACTAATATATCGCGTTTTGCAACTTGTCTGTAAATTGACATTTTTTTCATTGACGCCCCATTGATTCTAAACCTGTAAGTAATAATATGTGTTCATATTTAATTTTAAAGAATAAAAGCTTATTTACTCGTTAACCATAAATAAAAAGTTGTTTGCTATTTTTTGTTCTTTGTGTGGAGGTTTTTCGACGCAGGCCAACAGAAGTCACAATCATTCAATATAGTAGACGATTGAAGACTTTAATATTTCTGACATTTTCATTCTGTTAGATTTAAGAAATTAGACGACGCGTGCGGGTTTGAACCGGCATCCACAGCATTCCGTGCTGCTGCTTTAACCAATTGAGGTACCGTATTCTACACGTCATCGTCGAATTTCTTCAACCTATTAATACATGTAGCAAAAAGCATTTAGTGTAGATATACTATTTTATATTAATTTTTATGATAACCGATGAATTATTTACTTTCAAAGGCACTCCGCCAGAACATATCTGGCACCAAATGGAGAAATCGGGTAATGGCATAGTATCGTTCAACGATATATAAAATTTAATAGAATTTACACCGACAATTCATATTAAATAAAACATGTTTAACGGTTTAAAAAGCAAAATGTGTTACTTAAATTTATAATGAAGTTCAACTGGGCTGCCGTTACGAATGCATTAAAGCAGCCCTACGTAAAGTAAAGCCAAGCTTTTAAAACAATTAATTTTTTTTATTTTATTTAATATAATTTTACATGTGGCATATGTATGCTTAATGGATACGATTTAATTCATTCCCGGGATTAGAATCTGTGTCCATACAATATTAGTCACAATTAAATAAATATATGTTTAAATATTTGTTGCTATGGCAGATAATATCCTGCATCAGATCAACGAACCTTGTCCACAGATAAAAAACAGATTGTATATCTGTGGACAAGGTTCTATGATCTTGTATATAGCTTATATCACTTGTAATAAGATATATGGTATGTAGATCATTACGTTTGCTCGGGTAACTGATATTTATTGACCAATGTCATGGGCATACATGAAGCGGACAGCATTATATACGACTCAATTGCAGACAATACAGTTTTTGTGTGTTTGTTTGTAACCTTTTATATATATAGAGTCGGGCGATTTTTTTTTATTTCTTTTTTTAATCATTGAGGATCTAACTCAGCTTTCTTTTATTATTATCGATATTGCTACCACTGACCAAGTCCGTGAATTCGAATTTTTCTAATCGTCAAATTTATAAGGATGCGTCATATAACAATTATTTTCGACGAAAACATGCAATCCAGTTTCAAGGCCAACAAGATTGTTACTTATTTAAGTTTTGTTGTCTGGAATGCAAATAAAAAGCTAAACATTGCCAAGACGCATGCTTCATTAGTACAGGTTTTTAAAATAGCTAACGTCTTTAATAGCTTTTCTTATATTAAACATACTGTTTAAAATGTGACTTTGGTGACAGTATAATAAATTTATAAAAAGATAGTGCATGGGTTCAGTTCACTAGGTTTAATATATTTGTAAATCATCAATATCTAATTTCATAAATATGTTACCCAGTGAAAACTTGATCATCGTATGAGCTGGTGTTAAAACTCTGTCCGAACCATTTTTCGCATATGATAAAGACGATTCGTTAACTCCATGTACTTGTCTGATCCATCTGACATAAAACAATAATGTTACCGCCTTCAAAAATAGCAGTTCTTTAAATATGCATAAAAGCAAATAGAACAAAAGTTTCAAGAAGAAAGTCAGTTGTTAGACTGACTGACTTTCGAGACTTGTACTATTTCCCTATACACAATATTTAAAAGTAACCCATCATTGTCTCTTGTCACCGACGAAGGAAAGACCCCAGTCGTCCCTATTGTTGTACTGTTAACCCATAAGGGTGGGTAAGGCACTAGATTTAAAAAATGTATCATATTCTAGTACGATTTCTTTTAAAATTCAAGTCGCTTATAAGATAAACATTTTTCAGAAATTGAAATGGAATTCACAAAGTATCCAGAATCCGTGAACGCTCCAGTTGGCGATGAGGTAACCTTCGAGTGCGCTGTCAGAGTGCCCGGGGAACGGCTGCAGTGGAGGTGGAAACCGGCCGACGCTAGCTGGAAGAATTGGAAGGAAATACCAGCACGTGACAACGATGGAGTGTCAACGAAACTGGTCGTCGATGTCAAAGATGACTCGGTGGATAGTTTATATCAGGTTTGCGTTTTGTTATATAATAATCCAAAGTATATCAATTATTTTTATAATGAACAATCAAGCATAGTGTTCACGTGAAATAACCCAGCCATCTAAATCTAAACAAGGTGCGCTGTCTACCTATTTTAGCTTATATACGGAAATCTAAAACCACTGAAACCTGAAAATCTGAAACCACTGAACTCACGACTTTCTTATCTGTGGACGGTGGTTCGTTACGCAGATGGAATTTTTATATTCCTACCACACATTTAATATGCATTTTTATGAAATATATAAAAATAATCAGAAGGATGTTGGACCCGGTGGGGATCGAACTCTCGGCCCGTTGGTTATTAGTCAAGATTGCTACCATTATACCAACGAGCTCGTCAGATCAATGTATAACGATCGAGCATTATGTTTCTTCATAAATAAGCACCGAAGCCAAGTTGTCAATGCCACCGATCGACTCGTTCCAGGAATGTCCAAATTGAAACCACATCCACCTTCCACTGGAATCCTTTTAAGTTGGGTCAGGCTTTTCCGATTTTTCTCGAACACGGTATTGCTCCAGTTTTGTCCTCTAATTTTTAATCCAATTACAAAGCCTAAAAATGCCCTTTGTTCATGAAACAGGAGGCGGAAAAAATTGTATCGGATAGACGTATTTAACAATAATTAAAGGAACAGACAATAATTTTTCCTCACTAATCATCTTCGTCTTAAAGTTCGACTACTAATAAGTAATTTAATTATTAGAAACAGTTTAGCTCAGACCACCAGTGGAATTATGCAGTTGAACTATGAAATTTAACTTAGGAATTATGTATATACAAATTAAATACGAATACGAAGAAGTAACATGAGCCCATGAAGACGGTATTATGCAGTATTTATTAGCAAGAAATACACTTTTAATTCTCCTCTTGCTAATTAGTACACGTGAAAACTTTTAACACACACAGCAGACAGTTCAGTGTAAAAACTGTAGTTGACAATTCAGATTTCGAAGTTGCTTATTGATAAACAAGCTGTCTCAGCGACTACGTCGTGCTCAACTCTTTAAATTTGAGCTTTTACAAAAAGTTTTTTCAATTCGAACCAGTTGTTCCTGAGATAAGCGTGTTCAAAGTCTTCAACTTTATATATTAGTATTGTGTGACTAGTTGTCATATTATTGAATTTTACTTTCAGTGTGTTATATGGTATGGCGCAATAAGTCTTGTGTCGGTCCCTGCAAAGCTGTCGATAGCAAGAATGTATTTGAGCCAGAACACAGCCGAAAAACGAGTAATCACCGCGCCACTGTACAACACCGTTGTACTGCATTGCGAGGAACCGTACTCTGAGCCACCAGCAGTACTAAGCTGGTGGAAGGAGACTGGAAAGGTACAATTTTATTTTGTTAATTTAACGAAAACTTGGTTTCTAAGACGTATTTTCGTAAATTACTATTAATATTTATCACGTGTTATTGCACATGTTGACACTATATAATTTAAAAATCGAGAATAAATTGAAAACATTTACGACTCAGCCAGGATTTGAACCGGCATCGCCAGCATTGCGTCCTCTTGCTCTAATCAATTGAGCTACCGAGTCCTACAATTCATCGTCGAATCTTACATTACTTATTGATACATGCACCTCTCGCGCAATGTAATTGCAACCGTAATACGTACGTGTTAAGGTTGAAATGACTCCCTACTAAACAAAATGACACAATACCATCGCGACAACTTTATTAAGTTATGATTGAAGTACATGACTGTACTTTAATCATGTAAATTCTAAACTTGGTCTCTTTTTATTAAATAAAACACTTTAACGGTTTAAAACGCGATATATTAGTTATACTTATTTGAAAATTATTTTTAACTTAACACGGTCTCCCCGTGACCACGGCTGCTGCAAAGCATCCGAAACGTCGGGCCGAAGTTAAAAATGATTTTCAAATAAGTTTACCTAATATATCGCGTTTTAAACCGTTAAAGTGTTTTATTTATATGTGTACTACTCGCGTAAACTATAGACAGTATTTGATCTGTTTTATTTATGTTCATGTTTTAAACTTGAATCGAGACGAAACCATTTAACGAAACTATTGTATGGCATAGAAATATTATGACAAGCGTATTTTAAAATAAAAACTCATGCATGGATGTCTTCATGCATAAATATGCAATGAAAATTTACGTAGACAACAGAAATCGCTGTCCATTGGACAAAGAAGTTTTCCTCTAGCTCTTGGGTTTACTTGTAGCATTTTCTTTGAATGCATTGTTCAGGCGTTCAACACTTTACATTTTAACATTTGCTAGCATCAAGAAATAACGATTTTGAAAACCTCTTAAACATAATATATGTACGTTTTAAAATATGTTTGCGTCTCTTTTCGATGATAGAGATGGACATACGATGTTAAATCGGAGTTTTCTTGATACTAAATAAAATGGCTCAGTTCTATAAACTCTTGCATCTTTGTTGATATTTTGAAGAATCCTATAACTCTGGTCTTAAACGCCTACTTAAGTTTAGCGTTTTTCCATATATTCTAGATCAACGTTTTCCGAAAGAGTTTTCCGTTTACATATTCAAATAAAACACTTTAACGGTTTAAAACGCGATATATATTTGTTAAACTTATTTTAACTACGTCCCGACGTTTCGGATGCTTTGCAGCAGCCGTTTTCACGTAGAGGTTCAGTCTATATGTCGCGTTTTAAACGGTTAAAGTGTTTTATTTAAATGTTTACAAACAGTACGTAATAGTACATATTTTTTGGTGTCAAAGGGTTCTAGAAAGCAATTGGAGACACCACACGGAGTCCTCGTTATCTACAACGCAACCACAGCTGATGACGGAACCTATGGCTGTGTGGCCACCAATGAGTTTAGTGGACAAAGCATTGAACTGCCTGAGAGGATATATTTAAGAGTTCAGCATGAGGGAAACGGTGGTGTGAGGTAATCTTAAATGCCATACCTAAATTGTTATATTATATCTTATATGTATAGTGCAAAGACCAACTAAAATTAAAACACAAGACTTACAATCTTATTCTTCTTCTTCGCATTTATTAACTTTATATTTTTTTTTACATTTAGGTATCTGTATTATATCTTAGTATATGTACCAGAGATATAGTCAGAAAAGACTACATTTCAATCTGGTCACTTCTTCTTTTCACTTTTTCTTTTTTTTCTTTAATAAATACAAAATTCGTATTATTGTACTTTAAATCCTTACAGATTTCTGGAGACGGAGGACTACGTGGGTAAAAAGGACAAAGATGTGCTGACAATGCCGGTTCATCCAAAGGACTCCCTCCATCTGTGGTGTGGCGCAGTTGGCACTCCCCCTCCTAAAATAATTTGGAGTAAGGAAGGGGGTAACCTGCCCAGACGACATGACCATATGCTTACTGTGTCGCCATTTACTTCTGAAAATGAGGTACAAAATACTAACTCATGTCCGCGGTTTCACTGTAATTTTTATACTTTGGTAATGCGTAAAAAAATACTATTGTGTAAGAAATGGAAATATGCCATAAACCTTCCACGAATATTTATTTTACTTTAAATGCATATGAATGGAGTTGTAGTAATCTGTTTTATAAACCATAATCTAGCGAATTCGCAATTCCCTTAAAACAATAAATGAGGAGTTGTATTTTTTTTTTATAAAAAAAGTCTGTCTGGGAACAATATATACTTAATATGACTCCCATGCTCAAATTGTAACTAGTTATTTTCGCATTTTAAAGAGTTATATGTGTTTAATTTTAATGTTACTACGTTTTCGTAATGCTCTTTGTTATTTAAACAACACAACTATCTTATGAAGTTAAGCACCTAAAACTCCGTGCGTAGAAGATATAAGCCGCTTTGAAGCAGCGTCTTTATTTACGAACAAGCTCTTGACATTTCGCTCGAAGCAAGGAACGAAGATTCTAAGCACATTGAGAGTATTTGTCAATTAATGTTTAAAGGAATTTGGCAGACATATTATTAAATATGCTACAATCCAGAACTTAATCTTTATTCTAAGCCTATACGTATATAAGATTATTAGTATTGCACTAATACTTTAGATGGTTTCGGAAAAAGAAGTAAAATTTATTTACATAACCAAACAATTATACAAAACTAACTAATACCTAATACTAATCTTACAACTAACATTATCTTACCTTAAAAAGGAACGACAATAAAAGATTATTATTCGCACATTTTAGGATTCAAACAAATATTACAAAATATTTCGATAGATGGTAGGACAGGGCGCAGAAGTCCTACCTGTAAAAATACCTTATATTTAAATGGACACAGAAAACGTGTTCGCTCACGAGGTGAAACGGGTTTTCTACATTACTTCCACAATACAGAGAAAATTACTATACAATTAAAATTAAATAAAAAAATTCAACCAACAAACTTTTTGGACAAGAATAAACAAGCGTTATAAAATGCTTTGTAAAATTAAAAATCCATTAAAAAACAGATGACTTCGTTTTGCACCACGATAGTTTTTAATATAATTAATTAGGTTCCTTAAATAATATTACAAATTATTTTTTTACATGAATTTAATTAGGGTTGTACAAAATAACTGAAATATTCAGGGCACTTTGCATTATAGTTAATGCCTATAATATAATAATAGGTATACATTACTAAAAATCATCTAAAATGACGTAGTTAAAAATTAAGCCTTATTTGTTGCTAGCTGTGCCCGCGTCTTTGTCTGCGTGCTATAGTTATTTTCCACGTGGTAATATTTAGTTTTGCAAACAACCTCCTTGGTTTTTAAATATGTCATACACAACTGATACTGACTGCGATCATTTAATGAAGAATCATTCTTTCATCAATAATTTTTTTGGTTTCTTAAACTGTTTTCGCAGCGCACGATGATTAATCATTTCTTCCATTTATCCACATTTTCGCTGTTATTTGCTGCTATTGGTCGCAGCATGTTGTTAAATATCCTAAAGCTTTCCTCGATGAAAGGAAAAACCAGAAAGAAGGTTTTATAATTCGAACCAGTACTTCCTGAGATTAGCGTGTTCAAATATATATATATATTTAATATTTGTGTGTATTTAATATTAAGGGCATCTACTCCTGTTCGGCGAACGGTATCCGTCGTTCGTGGAAAGCGATCGCTCTCAAGCCACCACACTGGGAGGGCTCTGCAGGCAGCGTCAACGCGAGTGAGGGAGGAAATGCACACATTGCCTGCGGAAGACTGTACGGAGAGCCATCGCCCACCGTTCATTGGTTGTTGAACGCTGAAATAATTGACAAAGGCAAAGGCATAAGAACGACAGGTAAGAAGTGCCCATATTATTTTATGATAGAGACAGACAGACAACCACGAGGCTCACTGGATATAGTTGACATACCCCAGCAATATAACATCTAAACAAGATACGCTGTTGACTTATTTTGGCTTCGGATATTCGGAAATCCACAGATTGAAACTGAAACACGATTAAACTTCAATTTTTATCTACGAATGGTGATTCGTGAACCAGACGGGTTTTCGCTATTCAAGTAATGACAAAGGTTTTTAATGCAAGTATATATTTATTACATTTGACCCGTTGATTAGTAGCCATACATTGCTACCACTACACCAACGAACCCGTCAAAAAATTCACTCGAAATCGACTTCGGTAGATTTCAATATCCAACATTTGTTGCTCACGATAGCTTGAGTTATTACTTAAAACATTCTTCACTAATAGTTCAATATATCAAATATTTCATGCTATTTGTTTGTACAAATCGATACATATCATTATAGACTTTAAACGTATGGAGCAAATCAAAGGCTTCCTTTCTCACCAGATTCCCATAACGAGCACTAACTACGTGTAACTGTGATTTTTATAATAAAAATTTTAATTCAGTCTATATATTTTCTAGCGATATTTTATAATACACAACTTGTAGATCTACTATAATATTTAACTCGTAGTTCCTAAATTATTGTTATTACTTTTGTGTTCTTGTTCCTTTGAGTTATAGATTTGTTATATTTCCGTCAAGTCTATTTGTTTATGGTTTTATGTATGCTGATCTATATGACTTTGTTTCATTTCCAAATAAAATATATGTATTTTTAATGTTTCCAGTTTTGGAAATATAACAATTTTCTAAATCAAATCAGTACTTCCGGAGACTTGTGCGTTTAACTGAACAAAGAGACTTTTCAGCAATAGGCAGTTCTATACTGTTTGTAGTTTACGCAAGTAGTACACATTTAAATAAAACACTTTAACGGTTCAAAAAGAAAACGGAGACGATTCTAAGAATAACCTTGTATAGACAAGATTATTCTTTGTTGATACTAAAGCTGAGACACGCCAAACGTCTCTTTATTCGCAGAATCAGGATAAAAAATAAAAAAAAAACAAAGAAAACTCACGAAGTTATGAGATTTTTTGAGAAACTCCTTTCAGGTTTCGCATGAAGTAGGAATAACCTTGTATATATCTTATATAACTTATTTGAAAGTTATTTTGACTACAGCCCGACGTTTCGGATGCTTTGCAGTAGTCGTGGTCACGGAAGTCTCCCCGTTAAAATGTTTCACTTTAAAAGTAGACAGTTCTCCTTTTAAAACTGTAACGATTGATATTGTTACGATTATATAGGGGTAATATTAAATATACTGGCTATTTTCATATGGTATAGAATACATTTTTATCTGTCTTTCGTTTATCGGTTATAGAAGTTAATAAATAATTACAATAGGAGTAACCAAGCTAATTGTTGCAGATTCAGACCTGTACATAGATAAAGTTGAGAAACGGCACGCTGGTATAGTGCAGTGTTTCGCTTGTAATGCACTGGGCTGCGCGTACGACGCCGCTATGCTCACAGTGGTTCCGGTACAAATCTCTGAACAGGTAATTAATCATTACAACAATATTTTAATATAAAAATATGAGATTTAGTTAGGTTGACTATATTGCTCTAAAAGATCTAGAGAAGTGTGATGTAAGTTTTGTATAACAAAACGAAGAAATAAATGGTTTTAAGCCTGGTACGTCATCATTGAAGATATTGTTCGATACCATTCGGGGTACGGGAAGAGTCGACCCTGTAGTGTTCTTAAACGACATTTATAAATCTACATGTTTATAAATTAATAAAAAATATTAATGTACGTTTTTGATTCTAGGACTATTCTGCAGAAGTGCCAAAAACGATGCACATCCCCTCCCAGCCAAACTCGAAGAGACATAACAGAAAAAACGCAAGGAAACACAAAGGTAAGGAATAATGGAATAACCAAACTAAAATTGCTATTGTGGTAGGTATGTTCCAACTGACGGTCTTGTAAAATTTTATACGTTGTGAAAAATGGAGCGTTAAAAGTGCATACTCATTGCTGTTTTTTCGCAGTACTATCTGAAATATTTTTACAGCGCCGCATTGTATAGATGATATGACATTGAAGCCTCAGAGTAAACCAATATCGGTCTGGGTTTTACTCTTTTGATATGCCGTCGGCGAGTTGCTTTGCCCACAGCGCGAGATTAAAAATTACAATCCCATAGTTTTTTTTTGTGATTGGGAAAAATTTGAAACAAACATGGCTTCCTAAAATCCATAGACCGATACTAATCCATAGTAACAAATACAGAGTAACGAACATTAAAAAGTTTAAAGTGGGTTTTTTACAATGAATGGAGTGAACGATGTAGAGGATGTGAACAGGGGATTTGGTATTTGTGTTTTTTTTTTAATATTTCATACGTTGCTCAAGTTGTATTTATAAATACCTACCCCAGTTAGGGTACCTAGCCCAGTTTTTAATTTACCAGTCTTACTACATATAGCTTATAATAAGTAGGGAACATAAGAATTAACATAAAATAAAGTTTAAGAAAGAGACTTAATTAAATTTATTATGTGCGAATTATATTTATGAAAGATGTTTTTGTTATTTATTGTTTATTTGAGCTTTTATAGATTTTAATGTTTAAAGAATGGTTCATTGCAATTTATAATAATTATAATAATTTATACTCATTTTTTGTATTTTGTGCAAATCTAGGAAACACCCGGTAACAGATGAATTAAAACAACACTTGTATTGGTATTGAATGTGTTGTATATCTTGAAAGACATTTTAATATTACATATATTGTTTTTTCTGACAGCGGTTCTTATTGCGCCGTCTCGCCCGAATGTTACTCGCCTGTCAGATGAGAGTGTTATGGTCTCGTGGACCCATTCGAACCATGGTCTACCAATACAATTTTTTAAGGTAAATTGTCTATTTATATTCAAATTTGTAGAATAGAGTAACGGTTTTCAATGATATTTCTGGCATAGGTATGTTCGAACTTAAGTGCAGATCACTAAAGTATTTTTCTTACTGAAATCTTTTTATCGCTAAAATTAATTGCCAGTCTTTGTGTGGCTATATAGGTTTTTAGTTTTAGTTCTTACATAACCGAACGTCACTTGATTCTTAGTCGATGCTCTATTTAATTGAATCATCTTAAGTCTATATTTGTAATAAGATATAACATGTTGTTATTTTTAACTGAACTTCACATCTCAAGAATTAATTAGAAAGATATAACAACGTATTATTGTAATATATATATTCCCCTTCCAAAAAAAAATATTTAACCGTTCTTCTGAAATATGTTTGATTTCGTCTGGAAATTTGGATATAAAATGGGTGGGAGGCAAATCAAGATTCCGTCTGGGTCACAAACCACCGCCTAGAGAAGAAAAAGCGTTCAAGGTCGATCGCGTTTCGGTTTCAGTCTGTGGATTTTCGAATATCCAAACCCAAAATAGGTCGACAGTGCATCTTGTTCAGATGTTATATGGTTGGGGATTTCACCTACCATCAAGTGATCGCCTTGATTCTCTGTCCTTCTCTATCATAAAAAGAACACCTCGTGGAACATTACATTGCGTTAGGTGGGAAGGTCTAATACAATATTTTCAGGGTGGTAAGGCATAGAAGTCTGATGAATTACCTATTAGTAGTTTTTATAATTAGATAGAGAATTATTAAATAGATAGAGTAATTTATGTTGGATTAGCAAATTAGTTTATAGCGGTTTATTGTGTCCACAATAACCAATTTACACATCAGTACTGATTGGTTAATCCTGCCTGCAGACTTGCTTTGTGCCACACACGCATGGCCAATACATAATTATTTTGTACGTGTACCAAACACCACTTACATTTATACGGTAGTAATTAATAGTTACAATACATATAAAAGTTCTTAAATAACTCGATTTAAATAGACGATATTTTCTTGTTAATTTCACTACGACTCGACGTTTAACGATTCTTTGGGAGCGGTAAGAATTCCTGGTGCAAACGATTATGATACACAAAGCTTTAACTGCTTTCAATTGTACTATCTCCAGTCCGTTGTTGTCTTGTGTTAGTATGATATTTTTGTCGATCGTCGTGATTGAGAAATAAAAGCATATAAGTCCAAATAGTTTTTCAAAATGGCCGCGAAAGGAGAATGTACGGACAAACGCTCGTACAAATTTTATTGAATAGTATTATTTGATAGTATAGCTAGCATTAATAATCCATGTGAACGTATATTCTCGTATTTATATTAAAAAATATTACTAGGGAAGCCTATGCAGCATTCTACTTTCAAAATTTTCAGTACATACCTCGAAATGGATAAAATAATAATTCAGTTGCAATACAGCACTTATTGGGTGTGGTTACCTCCCCCCTTCCCGTCTCTTAAACCTTAACATATACACAACTGTACATTCATTTTAACATTATTTTTAAAATGTTTCAAAAACTGAATAAATGAACAATTTAAATTCTGAAATAATTAAATGTACAGGTCCAATATAGAGAGGCGACGAACTCGTCAAACGTCCAGTGGCACACAGCTAATTACGACATCCCTTCCTACATACATTCCTACGAGATTGACGGGCTTCTACCAGACAGATATTACAAGTAAGTATTTCAGTGCATTCGTAAAATAATACTGACGTCTGCGCTGAAGCCTCACGTTTCCTATCAATGAGACTGAGATAATATTAATATATTACTACGAAAAGAATACCCCTCTCGTGGCTCAATGATTAAACGTGTTAAGCGAGGTCCGGGGTTTGAATCCCAGGATAAGAGTGTAAACTACCGTGAATATCCGAGGCAGACATAATGTATTTGTCTGTTTATAGACGGGTTAATGTAAAAAGGATTATGTTTCTGAACATAATTTTGTTTTTGTTTTTTTTGCTATGACAACCCTAAGAATAATCGGTTGCCGTGGGCGCTATTTTCAAATACAAATTGTGAAGTGAAAACAAGACTCGGGTTTCTTCCATTTTCTTACTTCTAGTACTTAGAAATATAACAATTCTCGACAGACGACACAATTTACATGATTTCATAAATAAACGACTCATGTTTTGAAATTCGAGGAACCAAACGAAACGAAATATACTCATTTAATTCTATTCAGAGTCCTAATTAGTTTTGTGGTAGCACGTTATATTCGAACCAACTCTGAATTATGTAACACATGGCTTTATTCGGATTGTGTTACATTATTTTAAAGCAAGTTAAACTGACCAACCCTCTATTTTTGGCTTTGGATTTTCAGATATTCTACTGAAATCGAAACGCGTTTACAATTTACAGCGTTTTCACCCGAAGACGGTGGTTCGTTATCCGATCCAAATTGCAATACTCCCTCCACTCATATAATTTCTAGATTTCTAGACTAAGTCCAATATGTTTCAGAAAAATTATAAATTGATTAAAGATATGTTGCCGATTAGAGGATTTATAGCTGTATATTGCTACCATTAGACCAAGAAGTTTAAAGGCACATGATCATTATTCTCATCTATCATCATCGTCTCTGATGGTTGCCGAGCGATTGGGTAGGCGGGCGAGGAGAACTAAAACTACTTTTTCAAATCAACTGTTCTAATATTGATATTAACAAAAGATGGACACTATTTTAATCTACACTATGGTTATTTTAATTAGTAACGACACTCCACCGGCCCCCGTGTTTTTCGCGAGATGCCCACGGATTCTTTCTATTGCCTCATCACACACAAAAGAGCCCGGAGTTGTGTCAGAGTGACGTAAACGTCAACGGCACCTCGTCCAAGTGACATTGTCAAATGTCAGGTGAAAGTTGACGTTTCTTGACACTCTTAAACGGCGATGCGCCGTGAAGTTATCAAAATACAGTTATTTATTAAGGTTGTTTTTGTTTACTTACACAATTTAAAAAAAGCACATTGACATCTACGTCAACAATCAAACAGATATGTCAACGTCAAAAATCAACGAACAGGGGCGACCACCGGCCATCTTATCAAATTGAAATTGTTTAGGCGCGTAATTTTTAATTGACATTTAACTCGATCTAGAATTTTTTTCATTTCTTAACTTCTGTTTCTTTTTCTTTCTTCATTAATTAGAATATCTCTAAATTACTCTAAATCTTTTACTACCAATTTATTAATTGTATATAATGTAATACATATGACTGTCGTTCTGTAGGTAGTCAAAAGACTTGGTTTTAACCTGTGTTACAAGTACTTTTCATGCATTAAGCACACCATGGACAAAAATACTTTGGTTGAAGTGCAACCGACCTTAATATTTCAGATTTCGCATAGCAGCGGTTTATTCAAATCAAGACAACAAATTAGGGCGAAGTAGTGCTAAATTTTACTTGCAGCGAGGAAGCTCACAAACTCCGAGAACACCTACTGTGGATAAAGCTGCGGCATTATCTTCTAATAGCATACAGCTTAATTGGACGGTAAGTTACTTCATATCTATCAATTATTCATATGCATTTTTCAAGGAGATAAGAAAACTTTAATATTTTTCACATGTTATTGTACATGATAACACTATATTAATTGAAATTCGATTTCAGATTGAAAATTATTACGACACGGGCTCAATTGATATTATGTTGTTCTAATAATGAGCATGTCACGTTGTTCATTCAAGTTCCGCCCATCTGTAAATTATTTTCAATTTAAAATCGAATTTTAATTTAAGTAGGAAAATTAAACCAATAAATCATTTTAAGTGAGAAAATTAAACAATATAAAATAAATACACTTGGAAACGGTTCGAAACACGTTTTTTTATAATTAGTGGATTTTTTCACTACAACGGTATGTGTCGGATACTTTAAAGAAGCCGTTACGTGGGTACACTAATGTTTTCGCGTTTCAAACCGCTATAAGTATTTACACAAATGTGAACTAACAATTCTGATGGTAATGCAGTGGTCTAGCGAGGGCGGCGTGGAAGCGGAAGGTTTCTACGTGTACTTCCGAGCTGTGTCGTCGGCCGGGGCTTATGAAAAGGTACTTAAGAATATACGACTTCATCTTTTACATGGCATAACGATATAAATGGTTCTGGCTTATATTATAAGCAAATAAAACACGCTATGACTTAAAGAGCGTGTTTTATTTGTACATGAATAACAAACATTCATTTTATTTCATCGTTATTGCCGCATATTCGTTACAGCCCCATAAATTACATTATAATATGTGAAACATTTAATTGTCTAACTATTTATGTTTTTAGAGGTACATTGTAACATATAGACAATCTTGGAAATAGAATACTGCTTTACTATTTTTTACGGAAAAATTACTGTGACTGCTTGTGAATTCGAAGTTAATCTAAACCTTTTATATTTGATAAAGGCATATCACATGCTTTCATTTTAGTTGATATTTCGTATTGATGTTTATTTTGTATATATAAACACATACAATTTCATATACAGCTCACAGTGGCCGGATCAGCTCGAAGTGTGTCTTTAAGCCATCTATCGCCAGACACTGCGTATGAGTTGAAGTTGCAAGCCTATACAGCACAGGCACCATCCGATTTCAGTGCTATACTGGTAAGTCACCTACCTTAATAGCAACGAGTTATCAAACACTTGCAGGTGTTATATAAAGAAACAAAAGGTGGAATTCATTTTATTTTAGCTTTAATGGATAATTGACGTTATATTTTTTACTCTCTGTTTACTATGTACAACATATTTTTGAGTTTTATCTGTGCATATAGATTCCACTATAAATATGGCGTTCAGACCTAAATGTCTATATTTTACGCAAGTAGTACACATTTAAATAAACACTATTGACGGTTTAAAACTCGACGACAGCCTTCAACCACCCTGTGACCACGACTGCTAAGTTCGTAACGTCGGGCCATAGTTAAAATATATTGTAAATAGGTTAACTAATACATTTCGGTTTAAAACCGTCAAAAGTGTTTTATTTAATAATCTTGTTGTTTTTCCGGCTGGCCTTCCTTAATTAATCAATAAAGTTCTAGATATTTAATTAGTCATTGTATGAAAAGTTAATTTACATTACAGCGTGCATTCCGGGTATCATTTATTATAAATCAAATCCAAATTGTAGCAGACTTAAGCGCAATAGATTACGTAAATTAATTTATAACACGTTCTACATGCTCGGTGTTTTTTTTCGTGTTTGTGATTTAACGCAATAAAAGTTAAAATACAGATGCATCAGCTGAACTTTATGTTCTTGTTTTGTGCAGGTAGCGAAGACTCAGAGATCGATAACATCTGAGGTCAGTAGCAGCACAGAAGCGCCCGCGGAAGACGTGAAAGAACAAGGACCTACCACTCTAGTAACAGCTGGTGGCGTAGTCGGCGCCACGGCACTTTTGCTCATTCTTGCTGTCACCTTGTTACTATGTAAACGGAGTCGACGCCCCGATTCTAGTAAGTGTTTATTACACGAGCGCCTTTAAATAAAACACGTTAACGGTTTAAAACGCGACATATATTGGTTAAACTTTTTAGAAAATTATTTTTAACTAATTTGAAAATTATTTTTACTACGGCCCGACGTTTTGGATGCAAAACTGGTCATGTCCAAAATACCAATCGTGCCACCAAATACCAAATTCGACGGAACAGCTGGCGCTAGAGTAGCAGTTTTTTACTTTGACGTCAGAGACATCCTCCATCTTTAGTCTCTCCGTGACCGCGGCTGCTGCAAAGCATCCGAAACGTCAGGCCGTAGTAAAAATAATTTTCAAATAAGTTTAACTAATATATATCGCATTTTAAACCGTTAAAGTGTTTTATTTAAATATATACTACTCGCGTAGACTACAGACAGTATTTAACACGCGCACCGTAAAGATTCTGATGATGCAAAAGCACAGTCTAATTAAACCGAGACCCAAAAGCATTTGAAAATGATCTTTTATCGCTGCGTCTCTTTAGACCCTTTTACGTAGTTTCGTTACAGCAACTTCTACTACATTTGACAACTGCCTCAACCTCACATACTGTTAATTACAAATACACTTTCCTTTGATATGTTTAAAAATGAGACCGCAAAATGTCGCTCGCAGTCAGTTAAACTGGAACGTTTTGTTTGGCGAATACTATCCCGCGCCAAATTGCATTTCACAAAAGGTTTGTCACTGCTAAATTGACAATTAACAATTCGAGTGAAAAGATTTTAAATGTTCAATTGTTGACTGACACCAATATATTAGCGAGTATTTTTCATACGCGGCTTCGACTTGTTGAATATTTATCTAATGCTAGCTTAGTAAGCCCCATCTGCACGAGTAAATCACCTGAACAGAGCTATTTGTTTATGTAAAATATTAACTCGCTTAGCAAATGAATGGATAAAGGAACAGTATAAAGCGTAATAAATGCCAACTGTAAAAAATGCGCGCCGATAACTGAACGATTGAACGAATAATAAACGAATGAGCGTATTCGAGAACGAATGTTATGACCGACGATACAGATTCTCATTTCCCGTTGCGTTATTTTATATTATTCGGATACAATGGGCCATAAAGTAAATAAGCACTCATATTGACTACGCTTATCTCGCTCGTAAAGCTAACCAAAGTAGATGCTATAAAGTGTCAAGAAGTCGGTAATAAGGTTAAGTTTTATTTGAGGTTCCCACTATCAGTCTCCTTCGTGCCCTTTTCCGTTTTATTCCAGCGATTGTGGTTACCGAGCACTGAGCTTTTACATTTCATTACACGTCTGTAAGCTCTAGACATCCGTTCGCACTTAGTAATTAGATTGTTACTCTCTATTATTAAATAAACCTAATGAAAAATATTTCCATAAACATTTAAATACAAATACTTTTTTGAGAAAATAAAAAAAAAGATAAAAAATAACTAATATTAATACGCTGTAAGATGAGGATGAAAGAAATGAAATGTACAGTCACGAACACGATTATAAAATCCGAAATTTTAATATTAGTTCTAAGAATAAACAACGCATGTGACAGTCACGATTTTGATATTTGAATCTTGACAGAGTACCGAAACGCGTTACGTAACGAAGATTAACCTCTCGATGAAAGTTATTACTTGAGCAATAGCATCAACCGCAGTACATGACTGTCTTAAAATCAATATATATAGGAAACGAAAACTGTATTTTAAAGTGAATATATTATTTATAGAGGAGAAAGGTTCGGTCGAGAGCGGCGCCAACGGATACATCCCGGCCAAAGTGCCCATCACCATTACGGCCAACCCCATGCACACCGAGGTGAGGCCAGACTATTAAACAATAATGGCTTTTCTGCACGAGTGTGCGCGCGATTAATTTTACGTAAAATAGATTGAGTCAAAATTGGAATGTAACAAAAACCAGTTAAATGTGCCGCTAATATAAAGATAGCGGAAGTGAACGCTGTATTGAACTATTATAGATTTCATGTATCATATATGTTTCAGTTCTGGCTCTTTTTTTTAACATTAAAATAAATTTAATATTTTCTCAAGATATATAGGTTTATGATTTAAGTTACCTTATGCAAAGATCACTTAAATTTTAGGCAATTACATTCTTAAATGTAATATTTTAATTTGAAGGAATTAGTGACATTTTATTTTTCATATTATTAAATGTTATATTATTACAGGGTACTGAAACGGGAGTAGAAATGTCGTTCCTTCATAACAACAATTGTGGTAATAACGGCAGCAATGATGACACCTTGACACATTCTAGGAAAAATGGTCCATCGAGGCAGTACGTTTAAGGTTCCCAATAAGACTGTAAATATATTAGTTATAAGCTACTCAATATGCAATAATTTCGATAGAGCTTCGAAATTGGGATGTGTATAAAATGTGATATCGAATGTGCACGGTCTTTGACAGTACAAAAAAGTATATTTATTTTAGTTAGAGTTTGAATGTGACGTTTAGCATTTATATAGCATTAAATTAATTATATTTATAGCTTAAAAAGACTAATTAGTTTATATCTAGATGTAAAATATTTGTAATCGCTTACTGTTTATAGCAAGCGTGGGATCGTATGTGTAGCTACGAATATTTGTGCGATGCAGTTGTATTTAATGATTCATTAATATTCCATAAATACTAAAAGATCTGATGTTTGTTTGTATGATATATGTTTATCATTATAACAAGAATGAAAGGCAATACTCAATAGTAAAACAGATTTCTAGTTCTTAGATTTATCTATGCTCATTTCAAGAATTGTTTTCTCGACAGCTGTGTCCAAGAGTTCACATGTAGAAACTTAGATCCAGTCATTTCCTTTGATGCAATATCTAATTTCAATAGGTCTCCTTCCAATTTATCTTGAGGATTTTGAAAGAATGAATCTCAACTAATTAGTATGAAGTGTACGAATCGAGTGACCTTTTTTGGATAAAAAAAAAACTGACTTAAAACAGAATCAAATTTCTGATATGGCAATGTACTTAAAATTGTGCCGTTGTGTTGCATTTTCTATGAATATCTCATAAGTATTAAACGGAAAAAGTTGACTATTAAAAGCAGAAACTTGTCTTTTAAGTAAAATGATGTAACGACAGGGTATAATATAATTAAAATGTCACAAATGTATTTTATTAAGACTTCATTCTACTTGAATCATAATACGAAACCATATTTGCATTTCCGATTGCAATTATAAACATAGTTTTAGATTATGTCCTAAAAATACAGTACTACAATTTAGCTTTATATGAACAAAATTACGAGTATATCGGCGAAGTGTACGTATACAATTTCTAGTACCTGTGTTTTTGACACTCTACTGTGTACAATAGCAATTGTTCCATTATTCAATTAATCAAAAACATTTATTAATATTATTGCTCTGTGATAACTTTGCCACTCGAATAAAGTAAATCAGTATATAGCGTATTGCAAGCGAGGAATATCGCATCCAATATTCAACTGAACTTAATAGATCTGGAAAAGTTCTTGTCTGCGAGTAAAAGATGGAGTACTCCATCACGTAGTTGATAGCTAAGATCTACGTACAATTGAGTAGAGTGTCGGCATATGTAACTTTTTGAATGTGGAACAAAATAATGGAAGTTTTATTTTATTTAAGGAATTATATGCTTTGTGCGATACATCAAGTCAATGCTTCTAAGTAAACAGCTGATGTTTTACGAGACACGAACTGGAAAATAAACAATTATCAAAATATATGTGTTTTAATTAAAGCACGACGGAACCGCACGATTTATTGGGTAATTAGGTACAAGGAACATAGCGGAACAATTCGTTGCCAATTAATATCGGGCTGTCGAACAAATTCTTCTTAAGGGGATTGCTGGATTTAAGTGGGAGCGTGGCGTTGCGCCAAATCGGCTTTTGTGCAGGTGTCCGACCACTCGACAAAGATTGAGGGTCGGTTTGATGTTAATTAGATTTCGCTGTTGAAAATATTATAATTCCCTTTAATATAAAATGCCAATTAACGCTAGAGTGGATGTGAATTAAAAAAAACATTTGAGGTAAAAAATAAAGACCCGAATCCCGAATCCCGATAGTCTGATGGCAGTTACATATGGCTAAGGCACCGGTATGGCATTGGGTTCTGGGTTCGACATAGTGCAATATGTTTCTGAAATCAGTTTTTTTTTTATAGAGATGGACAGACAAGCATGGTGTTTATTGGAAGCTCACGGATGGGTAAACCGAAAACCAAAAGGGTATTTTTCAATGTTTTGGACGTTATAGGTTGATAGCGCATCAGCTTAAATCTGCCATCGTCTACAGCCCTGTCATGAAAAAGACCTAGATATAACAGAAAATATTTACTGACGAAAAGCTCTTATTTTAAAAGCCTTCCTGAAACTATTAGTCACACTTGCAATCAAGAACAGAGCCTGTCTCGACTATTGCAGAAGATTTATAACCAGACTTAGTCACTAATAATTTATGAGTGTAACTACTATAAGTTGAGGTGTTGTAAGCTGTACTTTGTAAATAGTGTATCGAATATAGCTCTACTCTCATGAAAGCTAAAATTGTCACCTATATTAGTGCTGTAAGCAGCAATAATTGCAATAAACTAGAAATAAAATTAGCTGGGTCACTAGAAATAGATACTATATTGGAGGGTAGTTATTTATTCTCGATGCGATGGCCGCACATAGCTGGTGCTGTCACTTGTTTACGTTCTTAATACCGATCGATTGTGTAGTACCCAATGCTAGCTTTTTGATGATTAATTAATATATTATTAATATTATAGTCACAGTAAGTTACGCGTATGTTATATTCGATATGGGTTTCTAGTCATGTTTTATGTTCATGGTCTCTATGCACAAAGTGAGCACATAGACTTATAAAAAAAAATCAAAACATTGTAACTGTGATCTGGCTTCATTCTCTACTCTATTGATGAACATCCCAAGAGAATAGGTTATATTCACATTTATCACATCTATGTCCGATTCAAGACGTTCTGAAAATTACAAACTACTAGCAATGCGTGCATTAACACTAGGCAAGTGGTTGATAGGTCTCTAGCTCTACATATATAAAATATAGGATAATAACTTTTATTGAATTATTAAATTGTGTAAGGCTTAAATAAAACACTAAGGTTTAAAACGCGATATATTAGTTAAACTTATTTGAAAATGATTTTAACTTCGGCCCGACGTTTCGGACTTTGAAGCAGCCGTGGTCACGGGGAGTCTCCCCGGCTGCTGCTTTAACTAATTTATCGCGTTTTAAACCGTTAAAGTGTTTTATTTAAAGGTGTACTACTCGCGTAAACTATAGACAGTATTACATTGTGTAAGGCTTTCGCGGCCATCGTTCAGCATATCATTGTTGTTCGGCCGAGGTAAGAGGGAGAATAGGTTCTCGACGTTTCGCCTTCACGAGCGGACGGCATCATCAGATGTTATATGTTCTTGATTGCTCGCAGAATTATGAACGTCGAGAACCTCTTCTTGCTCACGTCAGCAGGTAGCTCAATTGGTTACAGCAATAGCCCGGAACGCTGTGGATGCCGGTTCAAGTCCTGCCCGTTTCGCTTTTGTTTTTCATTCCATTTTTAAAGGATTTTTAATTTATATTGTGTGGTTATCATTGGTTTTCGTACATTTAACGTTACTAAGGCGTTAACTATGATCATTATGTTTACAATTAGCCTTACCTATCCAATTGAGTTTTAAAATTCAAATAGTACCTACACCAACATTTAATATTTTTAATTCCGCTGAGTGGTATCCGAACTACTGAAGCGTCCAGTGGCAAGGCACTTTGGTCGTCGTTGGGATAATTCTTGCAAAAATAAATACGCGTCATCGACCCAGGAGGTACAGAAAGAGACTAAACGTTAATTAGGGTTTTTTGCATTTCAAATCTCTTGGCTTAGAAGAATTAGGGGCGGAGTTTCGGGCCTTAAACTTGCTAAGCGAAAGTGGTAAACCACTTATTTGGGCGACTGTACGTTAAACGTATACCATCGCCTAATATTATATTCGCAATAATATCCAGAAGATCTTGCTTTATTCGTCTTAAACGATCGTATGTAATTCTAGATCGCAGCGACACAGCTACGGTAATCCTTTGTGATCTGTTCTGATTTAACATTTGCTTCGCTGAGTATAAACAACGTTGCACAAAGGCTCACAAATCCCTCTATTTCGTATTTGATTGCATCGATATCGATAGGCACTTGTTAGTACTTGCCTATTTCTATGCAAATGTAATGCTGAAGTAGAACTCCTTTGTTGTATTACAAAGATTACGAAATCGCAGGCGAAGGTAAGTAAGTGGTCATTAGGCTGTTTTTTGTATTAATTCATCACAAAATTAATTACTGTATGGGACACCCGGCTGAAGTATTGACAAAAGACAAACAGAGAACCTAATAGACTGACGATCAAACGCGCTTTACTCTCCTTTAAATTGTCTCCCACGACGGACTGTTAAATTTTTAGGTTAACTATTATTTATTATTTTCTTGTTTTTCTTTCATTTTAGAACTCTAACATGGGCTTGTTCTATCTATACTAATTATAGTAAAGCTGTATAATAATTATAAAGCTGAACAGTTTGTTTGTTTGAAAGTGCTAATCTCGGGAAGTACTGGTTCGAATTGAATAATTTTTGTGTTGGTTAGACTTTTTATCGAGGAAGGAACAGCCTGATGTTTTATAGTTTGGGCTATAGAAGCGAAAATACACAGAAAAATGTGGATATAAAGGGGAAAATTATCCAAAAAATATCTAAGTATAATAGAATAAATTTATCTTTAAATAATTTTAAAAATACTGTCGCCTTTGATATATGTCTATCTTTTAAGATTAACACGCAAGAACTACGGGATGCAGACGGCCGCGGTGTCGTGGGTAACATCTTTCATTAATAAAGCTAATGAGGAAATAAGTAATATGATGTCCAAACAAATATTCCACGCGGACGACATCGCGGGCAAAGGTGGTTATAGATAATAGATAGTGGCCAAATTGTAATCAACAGGTGTTAAAATTAAGATCTACACGCAAACGTTACATGTTCAATTATCTCACATTTTCAAATATTTACGTTTATTATAAAGTTGGCAACCCTATTAAATACACTATATCGCGTTCATTATATTACAATGCCAAATAACAAATCGCCCTAAATATCCAGATGAAAATTGAAGCAATTTCTAGAACCCGTATCTCTGTAATTTAATTAAACTGTCGTACCTGTGAGAAATTAAAAATAAAAGCACCTAGTGTTAGAACCCTTTAATGGCTTT